GAACTTCCCGGAGTGAAGTTTACTTCCTCTGTGCAAACGGGCACAGCGTTTTTGTTTTGTTTTTTGCAAGTTGGAAAGACTGGGTCCCTTGGAGGCCTGAGTTCCATTTGTCCTGAACCAGAGAAAAAACAGCTGCACCATCCTCATATTCTTATATGGAAGGTACTAGAAAGGAGAAACAGGGAAAACGTTTTTGTAAATAACTTGATATGCAAGTTGCAGCCAAAGTCTTAGAACATCTGTGTCATACAGAATGAATGGCCTGGGCTTACTGAGCTAATAAAGTGACAGAGGTTCCTGGAAAAGAAGACAGATGCAATACGGCTCCATGCACACTAGCGTTTTATTAACCACTTGCCTACCGGGCACTTATACACCCGTCGTAAGCTGCCCAGGCCAATTTTCAGCTTTCAGTGCTGTCGCACTTTGAATGACAATTGCGCGGTCATGCAACACTGTACCCATAAGAACATTTTTATCATTTTTTTTAGATAGATAGAGCTTTATTTTGGTGGTATTTAATCACCTCTAGGTTTTATATATTTTGCTAAACAAACCAAAAACAAATGAAAATTTTGAAAAAAAAAGTTTCTTAGTTTCTGTTATAAAAGGTTGTAAATAAGTGATTTTTTTCTCCTTCACTGTTGTGCAATAATGAAGCTGCAGTGATGGGCACTGATAGGAAGCACTGATGAGGAGGCACTGGTAGGTGGCACTGATGGGCATTGACAGGCATCACTGATGGGCACTGAAAGGCAGCACTCATATATGGCACTGATAGGCGGCACTGATTGTCAGAACTGATAGGTGGCACTGCCTGGCACTGACAGGTGACACTGAAAGGCAGCTCATTGATGTGCACTGGTAGGCACTGATATGTGGCATTGATGTGACACTGATGGGCACCAGCAGGTGGCATTGATGGTCACTGACAGGTGGCACTACTAGGGCTATACTGATCATCAATGCCCTGATGATCAGTGTACATGTCCCCTCTGAGGAATGACGATTACCGGCTCTCCTCTCCTCACGAGCTGTCAGCGTGACAGCTCGTGAGGAGAGGAATGCCGATAACCGGCATTTCCTTATTTACATGCGATGAGCTGTGATTGGACACAGCTGATCACATGACAGAGCTGACGTCATTGGTTCTTCCTGTTGATCGGTGATCCGCTGTGTCCTAGGAACATAGCGCACCACTGATCAATGCACTGTGCACCCCCGGGGGCGCGCAGGCGTGGTTAGAGTGGGAGGACGTCATATGACGTCCTCCCAGAACGAAAGAACCGCCTTGTGCCCATCATTACCTTATATGGTGGGCGGGAGGTGGTTAAAGGCTCAAAAAAAGCTGTGAAAAAAAACGCTGGTAATAGTGGTTTTTTAGCAGCATTTTTAGTAGCGCTCAGAAGCATTTAGGAGTGTTAGCATTTTAGTAGTGTTTTTACAGTACATGTAGAAGGAAAAAAAGAAGCTAGAAAAAAGCTGTTAGGAGCGTTTTAGTAGCGTTTAGGAGCGTTAAGTGTTTTTTTGCTGCTGGAAAAAACACTCCTAAAAACTCTACAAAAACTTTTTATTTTCTGCTTCTTTAGATACTGAAGCTCAAAAAAATGCTAATAGCCTAAAGTAGTGTACATGGACACATAGGATAACACTACTTATTATCAGCATATTTTTTTCTGCTCCTAGCTAGCTTCTAGGAGCTTAAAAAAATGCTGGTGTGCATGGATCCTAAGAGTCCCATTTAGAGTGTGGGCTAACTCTAACATTTACCACATATCCTCTCCTACCTGTCTTCATTTCTGGGAATGTCGTTAGGTCCCAGAATGCTTGACTAGTAGGCAGGTTTAGCAATTAAAGCTCGCCATAGGTGGACCGAAATTCGTCCAGTTCATCAGGGACCAGCCAAATTTTGATCCATGTGTGACTTTGCCTGTTCAACAGAAGTCGATCATTAGATCAAGTTTTGCTGAACCTGAAAAACTTTTCTCAATCAGACGGCTGGAGCCGCTGATCAGTGTCCCAGCAGGAAGGATTCCTCTATCCACCACACGTATGTGGATGGAGGAAACCATTCACTTTTTTCATTCAGGCTGCTGGCCAATCAAAAAAATAAAGAATCTTCTATGGTTAGACAGACCGCTCACTGTAAATAAGGTGTTTTATATTTCTAGTCCCTTTACTCTTTGCAGCCCACTAAAACATCAACTACATTTAAAGAAGTTGTAAAGACAACAATATATTTTTTTTTACATAACAAACATGTTATTAAACAATGGTATTGCCCAGAGCAGCCCAAACCTCCTCTCCTGGGGTCCCCTGATGGTGCTCTTGACTTTTCCTCTTCTCCATGTGCCACCATAGGAAGCTTCTTCTTATGGGGGCACATATGCAGGTCTTGCTCCCAAGTTGGGCTGTGCGTCTATAGGCACACACAGCACAGCTCGCACCCACGCCCACTCTCTGCTCACAGAATTTGATTTACAGCAGCAGGAGCCAATGGCTCCCACTGCTGCCTATCTGCCTGTGTATGTAGGAAGAGGGGATAGCGCTGGATTGAGTGAGGACCAGGTAAGTATTTAGGGGGGGAGGGGGTGATACAAACATTGGTAACATTTTTTACCTTAATGCAGGAAATGCATTAAGATAAACATGACATGCCTTTACAACAACTTTGAACAAAAAAAAGGTTTGAATGTGCTTAGACTAGAAACATATTAAGCTGACCATACACTGATTGAAACTCATTTGGTTCAGCAGGGGCATGTTGGCAAATTTTTGGTCGATCAAAGACTGCAGCTCTGACCAGTGTATCATGACAGTGGCAGGTGCTGCTGTAAGAGTGCATTGCCCTGGTGGGGGTGAATTCTTCCATCTGCCTCACTTATGTGGATGTAGGATTGGCCAGCCTTAGTGCTACCTTATGAAGTTTTCTTCATAGGAGACACAGTAAAGAGACAGTAGTGGGTATATGTAGGAATTCCTTGGGGAAGCTCAATTCATTGGATCACCAACAAAAGAAAGTGAAGTGGACTGGAGCTCTACAGCAAAACCTGGATGAAAAACTAAAGTATTGAACACTTAGGCTGTGCTGCCTGTCTGTCACAAATATATGTTTTCTATGCATATGTTTCATATGTTTATATGCTTTCTTATATGTTTACATGTAATAAAAAAGATGTGTTTTCACCAATCATGATATTTATCCCCAGGAAACTACAGGGCAATGGTGGCAACATTTCAGAGTCCCCATCATTATTTCCCCACCACCAACAGCTCTATCAGAATGGAGGGACATTTCAAACCTTGGCCTCATATATGGTCATGTAGTGCTAATATTGCTTGCTTCATATCCAAACTTCAGAAATGTTTCACTAAGAAGTATATCAGCCATATGAAGCACAATCAATACATCCTACACTGTCAGTACTAATTTGATTTATACCAGAAGCAGGGGTGATATTTTGCCTTAGGCAATCCTCGGCTCCCAGCATGGAGACCAAGTTGTACTAACTTTCGGGAGCCAGGAGGATGAGCTCTTGATCATTGATCATTGTGATAGCCTATGAGTGGCTATCACAGTGATCGGTAGTAACTGATCAGTGTCATTGTCATTGGGTCTTAGGTGGGATAACAAAAGCAGTAGTGCACTAATGGTTCTGGCCCTACGATTGGTACAAACAGTGAATAATGTACACATATGCAGTGTCGCTGCGACCTCCAGGAGTAGGAGAATTTAGACTGGGAAGTTTTTGGGTGGTGGGTTATGATAACGACAAGATATATATAGCTAAAGTTAAAAAATAATACATTTTTTTACTATTTTTTACTATTTGAGCCAATTTCCCTTTGATAATATCAATAGGAAATATCCATTTACCACCAAAAGGCTCAGTTTGTCCTGGAAAAAGCAAGGTATAAGTCACCTGGATACATTAAAGCAGAGTTCCACTCAACCTATCAAAAAATAAAAGTCAGCAGCTACAAAAACTGTAGCTGCTGACTTTTAAAAAACAGCCACTTACCTGTCCCTCGGTCCTGCGGTGTGTGTCCCGCAGCTCGTTTCACTGGCCGTCCTGTATTCCAGGAGGCCGGCATCTTCAGTGTGGGCACCCGGCTGTGACAGCTTGCGGCTTCACAGCCGGGTACCCACTGCGCATGCGCAAGTAGCGCTGCACTTCCTGAATGGTCCTGTAGTCTTCTGGGACCTGTCACGTGTCCTAGAAGACTACGGGAAAGGAGGGAGGGATGGACACCTTCCGCTTCCGATCGCCTAGGACCGGAAGTGGGAGCGGGTACCTGTCAAATTCGGGTACCCGCTCCCCGAAGGTACCAATCCTTAATGGGGAGCGGGGGAGCAGTCCTTAAAGCCGAACTTTCCCTTTTGGGTGGAGCTCCGCTTTAAGTCATTGCAAAGATATGTACAATTTAAGTAGCACATGACAAAGTTGCACAACTGGTTTCAGGCATTAAGATTTGTTTGGACCATCATCCTTAAACTGGTTCTAAAGCCTGAAGGTTCTATGCATGAAGGTAAAAAGCCTTCAGTGTGCAGCAGCCTCATCACCCCCCCCCCCCCCCCCCCCCCCCCACACACACACACTCCAATACTTACTCAGATCTCGGTCCAGTGATGTGTACGAGTCTCTCATTGTCTGCAAAGCCTGTGAAGATGGAGTGGGGGACGGGGCTGAGCCATGCTCTGCTGTGTCTTATGAACGCAGCAATCAGGGCTCGGGAGGGAGCACACACCAGTGCCCCTATAGCAAGCAGCATGCTACGGGGGCACTGCTAAGGGGGAGGGGCCAGAAGCACAAGCATGGGACCCGAGAAGAGGAGGATCGGTGCTGCTCTGTGGAAAACCACTGCACGGAGCAGGTAAGTATGACGTGTTTGTTATTTCAAAACACAATAAAAAAACGACCATTTAATGTCACTTTAAGGGATGAAATTATGACTACAAAACTACATTTTAACACAAATCATTTGAAATAACCAATGGTTTACTTGGCATATTACCTGAGAAAATCTGGGGCTTTCGAAATCATATTCTCAAAGTCTGCAAATGCTAATTTGCCATCACCATCCATGTCAGCCTCCTCAATAACCTTCTCACATACCAATGTCACCTCTTCCTCTTCCAGTTCTTCTCGTGTCAGCTTGTTAAGAGTCTTCTCCAGATCAGACTTACAAATAAAATTATCTGTATTGAAATCTGAGCAGGAAGAAAAAAATCCACATGTAAGGGCCTCACAGCTACTACAAGACATTGCACAATAGAGATCTCTCCTAGATAACCAACACATTACTGAGACCTGTCCTTAACCACTTCCATACCGGGCACCTTTATCCCCTTCCTGCCCACGCCAATTTTCAGCTTTCAGCGCTCTCACACTTTGAATGACAATTGCGCAGTCATGCAACGCTGTACCCAAACTAAAATTTTATAATTTTGTTCACACAACTAGAGCTTTCTTTTGATGGCATTTAATCACCACTGGGGTTTTTATTTTTTGCTAAATAAACATTTTGAAAAAAAAAAAAAAACACGTTTTTCTTTGTTTTTGTTACAAAAGTTTGCAAATAAATAATTGTTCTTCAAAAATTTAGGCCAAAATGTATTCTGCTACATTTCTTTGGTGAAAATAACCCAAATCAGTATTTATTAGTTAGTCTGTAGGAAAGCTATAGAGTTCACAAACTATGGGGTATATCTGAAAATTGATCAATCCTGAACTACTGACAGTCGATCTAATTTTTTGAGGCCCAAAAATGTCAGAACAGTACAGATATCCCCCAAATGACCCCTTTTTGCAAAGTAGACAGTCCGACGTATTTCATAAGAGGAATGACGAGTTTTTTGAAGTTGTAATTTTTTTGTCATCACTTTTTGGAAAATGAAGATATTAAAAAAAATATTTTCACAATTTGTTTTTACATACTGTCACCAGTGCAGTACAGCATCATCATATAACTGGTTTGCTGGTGATCAGGGACACTGACTGGTGACAGTACTAAAAAAATAAAATTGATAATTTTTTTTCTATTTTTTTTTATTTATTATTACATTTTTTTATTTTTTTTTTTTTTTAAGATTTTTTTTCATATTACACTATGACCAAAGTAGTATAATACTACCATAGTAACATTGTACTACTTTGGGGAAGTGATCAGTATTTTTTTTTTTTACACAATTTGATTGCTTATAGCAAAGAATTTCTTTGCTATAAGCAAGCATTTAACTGAATGAAATAGATTCATTCAGTTTTTTTTTGTTGTGATTAGATGTGATTGGCCACGGCTAATCACATGACACAGATGGTCTGTGATTGGGTCCAGCCTGTGCATGCGATGCTGTGACACTTGTATACAATGGATGGCATGAAAGGAAGCCATCCATTGTATACAACTATCATGTGACCTGCTGTGACTGGTCACAGCAGGATGCATGGTACTGGCAACAGGGCCGGTGCACAGATCTGCCATTGGCCGTGTCCGAGGTACACAGCCGGTGACAGATCTCGCCACAGCACGGCCCTGTGGGCACACGCAAAGCACTATCCGGGAAGGACTTCATATGACGCCCTCCCGAAGGGACGAGGTGTTACAGACATCCATACCCACAGTCATACTACAAGCACATGGGCACCTTGTTCAGATAAATAGAATAGTCAAACTTATATAAATCACTGATATCTGTGAAGGTTTAAGAATGTACACGGGGTTGATTTATTAAATGCAAGTAGACTGTTCACTTTGCAAGGGATGTTGTATTTGAAAGGGAACTATCCCCACAATTTAGTGAATAAGGTGAAGCTTTGATGGCTTCCATCATCCAATCATCTGCAAGTAAAATTGCTAGTTTTTTATTTTATTTTAATTGCATGTGATTGGGTACTCTTTGCAAAGTGAAATTTCAATATATTCACTAAGCTCTTGGGAAAACTCCCTTGCAATGTGCAACTTCCCTTGCAAAGTGATCAAACAATTTGCCTTTAGTAAATCCCAATAAGTGACTTAAAGTATAACTATATTGGGCCCCCAGGTCACCAGAACTAATTTCCCCATTGGAAGATTTCCCCTCTATTACTTTTCTGAGGACAACCCAATTTTTTTGTTAACTTTCACTTTCATCGATAATAGGTGTTCTAAGCCACTCTGTCCAAAACTAAAAAAAAAGTTTTGCCTTTAGTTATACTTTAAATATAACTCCACATGTGTTGAGAAAAAAGCAATCCCCTCTGGAAGAAAAATGTACAGGCGTACCTCGGTTTACAAATGCCTCGGTTAACGTAATGTTCAGTTTACGAATGAAAATCCATTGAAAATAATGCCTCGGTTTACAAATTTTTTTCGCAATACGAACGGATTAATTGGTTTTCAATGCATTTACGATTTTTTTTAAAATCATTTCCCTGTACATTATTATGCCTTTAAAGTGCACTTTATAAATAGTTTTGAACAGATAAAATACTTTTTTTTTACTTTTTTCTAACCTCCGGAACGGATTAATTGGTTTTCAGTGCATTCCTATGGGAAACCGTGTTTCCGTTTACAAATTTTTCGCAATATGAAAAGTCCCGCAGAACGAATTAAATTCGTAAATTGAGGTATGCCTGTACATTGCAAGGATCTTAAAAAAACACAGTTGCAGATTCCGACCTGCTTCTTCTGCTTTTGCAGACTGATTCTGAATGGGATGGTTCGTTATAATCACCTGGTACACTCTTAGCGTTCTGATGTAAAAAGCTGCAGTGTCTGCATGCTTTTGAAGTATTTAACACTTGTAGAGTATCTCACCATACCAAAAACTTCTACTGCAGGGGATGCCTAAAAATTGACTTGCATCCTAGTGCAGGCTTCTGGGAAAACCAATGAGCCAATCACACAGGTAGGAAATGACATTTCTGGGCTTTCTGTATACAACAGTGTATACAATGACTCCAGATTGCCTTATTGCATTGAATTTTACAGAAAATGACAGCGTCTGCAGATTGGAAAGGAAAGGTAATTTTAAATAATATTAATTTACAACATAGCTTATGTAGCTATTGTATACGCTTCATTATTTGTTTTCATTTGCTATATTTTTTTCACAAAAAAGTAGTTACCCTTTCATAGAAAGAAAAAGTAGGTTGGACAAACAGACCAGAATAGAGGGCCAGACAGATAAAGAAGGAGAAGACGATTGAGACAGACTGAAAAAGAAGAGCACATACAACAAGAAGCAAACATACACTCACTGACCAATTTATTAGGTACACCTGTTCAATTGCTTGTTAACAAAAATTGCTAATTAGCCAATCACATGTGTCAGGAATGGACTTGCCAATAATGGTGGGACTCACCTGCCTTGTGGGCTGCAGTACCAGGGCTGGCCAGCAGGTGCTCTCAGCAATCAGAGACTCACCCCTGCAATCAGCCAAACACCAGAAGCTGATTGCAGGGGTTGTATTTAAGGAATGGCCAGACTCACAGTCAGGGCCTTGGTGTGTGTTTTTCCATGGGCCCCTGTACCTTGTATCCTGTATTCCTGTTCCTGTCTGACTTGTTGCCGACCCTGCCTGATCCTGACCTCTGCTGACTTCTCCTGCTTGATCCCTGGCTTGTGACCCTGACCATTCTCTGCCTGACCCTCTGTACCGCGTTGCCCGTGAGTTACTGAACCCATCTTGTGCCGCGTTGCCCGTGAGTTACTGAACCCATCTTGTGACCCCGACCATCCTCCCGCCTGTTCCTGGTACTCCGTTTGCCCGTTTGCTACTGACCCGGCCTGCCTGACTACTCTTTGTATTGTATGTATTGTTATCGGTGGGTGGTTTGGTTTGTTTGCACTGTGTTTATGTTTAGTTTTGCACTGCGTTTTGTATTGTTAGTCTTAATAAATTATATTGTTTATACTATATCTGAAGCCTGCGTTTCCCTGTGTCAGTCCACACCCTTCTGGTCATACCTGGAGCCCTGACAACATGGCAGCAACTCAATGCATTTTGGCATCTAGACATGGTGAAGATGACTTGCTGAAGTTCAAACCAAGCATCAGAATGGGGTAAAGAGGATTTAAGTGACTTTGAACGTGGCATGGTTGTTGGTGCCAGATGGGCTGGTCTGAGTATTTCAGAAACTGCTGATCTTCTGGGATTTTCACGCACAACCATCTTTAGGGTTTAGAGAATGGTCCGAAAAAGAGAAAATATTCAGTGAGCGCCAGTTATGTGGATGAAAATGCCTTGTTGATGTCAGAGGAGAATGGGCAGACTGGTTACTGCTATTCAGATAGTAGGGTCAGAATTTGGTGTAAACAACATGAAAGCATGGATCCATCCTGCCTTGTATCAATGGTTCAGGCTGGTGGTGGCAGTGTAATGGTGTGGGGGGGATATTTTCTTGGCACTAGCAAGGTGTACCTTATAAAGTAAAGTCGCCGGAGAGTGTATATCCAGGCATAGAAAGACAAACAAACAAAAAGAAATAGAGAAGGAGTTGGGAACCGAAAGAGTACAAAGGATGGACAAAACTAAAAAAGATGTAGAGAAGGAGACGAGGAGTATAGGAGAACGATACAAAGCACCTTTCCCTTCATCTCCCCTAGAATGCTGCCTAATAATCCCCACCACTGTATACAGAGATTTGTCGGAAGGTCTGCTATGAGATACTGCACATGCCCCTGTATTTATTACATAACCTTTACCATAGATCTTAAAGGCATAGATTGCTTTCAGCTCACGGGGAGCCATTTCACTCATCACAGAGAACATGTCTACAAAGTCATTGAAGCTGAGATTGCCCTCCCCATCTTCTGAGAATGCCTGTACAATTCTCTCCTTGAAAGGGTTTTCCTGGAAAAAGAGAAAGAGGTCATTTTAGTTGTGTCATTGTGATGTATGACATTGTCGCATTGCAACCTTATAATTATTACATTTTCTTCTATAAAGAGAGGAAGCAGAACAAGCTAACAGCATGTCACAAACGGACACAAGAAAAATGAGTGTTAGGATGGGCGATGCTGATCAGATGACAGAAGGTTTTTACCGTAAATATTCCTTACTTCCATTATTTTGCAGGCACAGTCTATAGATTATAAAACTAAAGCTGGGTACATACTATAAGAAAATCGGGTGAACAGTCGTCTGGTTTTCTTTGATGTTTCACAACAAGTCGAACCTGAGGATGGTACTAATTGTACAAAAATTCTCGAACAACAAAGGCTTTTTTTGTTTGTCGTAGAAAACTTGTAGCATAGATTATTGTTGTTTATTGTTTCTGATCATGTGCAGTCTTTAATATCCAATTTTTTTTGTACAAATACAGTACACATTAAATGAAAATCCTTAGCTTTTGGAGTTTGACCCTTCGGAAATTTTTGTTTGGAAAGTCTAAATCAGATATTTAAGTTATGTACACACTATTCGAAAATAAATCGATCGTTCCTTGTGCTGAATTTTTCTTCCGATTTTCTGATAGTGTGTACCCCACTTAGGGCCCATGCTGACTAGAATGTATGCTTTAGGATCTTCCTATTCAGTTCAACAGGGAAATCTGAAATGCACTCTTTGTGGGCTAGGTCATACAATGGCGGTATTTTGCCCTTTCTAGCTAAATTGAACATGCATTTTTTTTTAATATGTATATTATATTTATATGTTTATTGAAATATCTGTTATAGCTCTTCAACGTGTGGCCAAGGGCAAAAAAACTATGAAGCTTTGCTGTTAACTTGTGATATCTGATTGGCTGCTACAGACTCCTGCACTTTCCTCCAGCTTAGTAAAAAGCATGGCCAGACCTAGGGGGGGTGCTGGGGTTGGCTGAGCTGAAATCACATTCCTTTACACACAGCCAGTCAGCACCATCTTCACAGTAGGCGTCTGGCTACTGCAGCTGCACTGCCGTTCCGGCTGGGGAATTTCACAGGTCAGAACAGCAACACAGCAGCCAGCTACACCCTGTGAGGATCATAGCCGACTGGCTGTGTGTAAAGGAATTGTAATTCCAGCTCTGTGTAGTGCAGGAAGCAGGAGCTGTGCATAGTGCTAAGATGGGAATGGAGCTCTGCAAAGTGCCCTGCCAGCAGTGATCCCTGTCCTCTGACTCTCCAGGGGTGATCCTTGTCCTCTGACTCTCCAGGAGTGATCCCTCTCCTCTGACTCTTCAGGGGTGGACCCTGTCCTCTTACTCTCCAGCGATGATCCCTGTCCCCTGACTCTCCAGGGGTGATCCCTGTCCCCTGACTCTTCAAGGTTGAACCCTGTCCTCTGACTCTCCAGGGGTAATCCCTGTCTTCTGACTCTCCAGCGGTGACCTCTGTCCTCTGATTCTCCAGCAGTGATATCTGACTTCTGACTTCCCAGTGTTGATCACTGTCCTCTGACTCTCCAGGGGTGATCCCTGTCCTCTTACTCTCCAGGGGTGATCCCTGTCCTCTTACTCTCCAGGGGTGATCCCTGTCCTCTCCTTCTACAGCCGTGATCCCTGTCCTCTTGCTCTCCAGTGGTGATCCCTGTCCTCTCCTTCTACAGCCGTGATCCCTGTCCTCTTGCTCTCTAGTGGGGATCCCTGTCCTTTGCCTCTCCAGCAGTGATCCCTGTCCTCTGCACTGCCAGTGATTATCCCTGTACTATTCTTCTCCAGCAGTGATTCTGGTCATCTGTCTCTCCAGTGGTGACCCCTGTCCTCTGCCCTGCAGCACTGACCCTGTTCTCCACTCTGCTTATCCCTGTCCTCAGCTTCTCCCTTGCTGACCTTCTTTCCTCTGCCCTGCTGAACCCCTGTACACTGCCCTGCTGACCTCCCATCCTCTGCCCTCCTGACATTTTTTACTGCACCCCCACATCAGAGAGGCTAGATCTGGTCTCGGTAAAAAGCCTGATAGTGTCTTTGCCACCCTTTTGTATAGATTACTGCACAAAACCTGTTCACTATAGTTTTCTAGAGCTATGGACACACATTTTTGGTTTTGCATCATAAAAAGCATTATACGAAACACTAGTGTTAATGTTTCCAGCTGCTGTTTTTCAAGTGTCAGCAAAGTGTTTCTTAATATTGACAATTGACTGCATATCTATCAATGGGTGACATTTCCTTTTTCATCACTAAATTGATTAGTCAAGCAGGAAAAAGGCTAATCAATATCCCATAACCTTCATTTTAACTTCTCTTGTGTTCATTTTCTCCTTGACTAACCACAAAATTTCCACACAGCCTTTTTTGATTATGACAATGTAACATAACACTAATACATTAGAATAATTTGAAAAAAGACAAAGCAAAGTAAAGCATGGGAGCTACACTGGGAGCAATGTACGGGGTTCTGGTGACTGGTGGCAGTAGACCATAGTGCTGGTTCTCCATTGCTGCTAGTCAATTCCCTGGTAAGTACACTTATTGTGACAGCCAAAATGCTGCTGAATCATGTTCATGGCTGGAAAAAACTGCACTTATCTACATGTTACAGCTAGCATAGCACTCCCCTAGAGATACAAAGAAACTCATGGAAGGATTTGCTGTACCTTGGGGGTGTTGACTAGGGGGGAGATGATCAATTCTGTCCTGTTGCGCTGGTGAGTGAAGCTATTCATAATGTTGGAAGAGATCAACTCAACTCTGGCCTCTGGAGTGGGATAATGATGAAGTACCATGAGGTATATTATCCACCAGATGAAAATCCAAATATATATGTCCTCTAATACATTGTTCCTTCTACACGACATCCAGTTCTGCTACATATAAATCATCTAAAGAATAGCAATCCCATGAAATATTCTTATATACAATAGACACCTGAATAAGTTGTCTCACAAGCACCAGGAATTACCAGTTGTGAGGTCCAGTGCATTATTGCCACCAGAATGGCCTCTGATTTCCAGAGATAACATCACAAAGAGTTCTATATAACAATAATAAAAGCCTAGTTGAAATCAAAGAAATACATATGCAGTCAGATAGACATTGCACTAACAACCATGTTCATATTATTGCCTCCAGTTTTCTGTTTCAGCAGTGCAGGGTGTCTATATATGAGTGCACAGTCCAATAGGCACAGTAACTAGACTCCAGTGCACTCTGTAATCAGCACTCAGTAGCAAAACTGGTTTGACACACCTCCTCCCCTTCTCTGAAATACAAGTCTGTGTAATGACACTTGTGGTGAGAGGCGTGGCTAAACTGTTAACATAAAGCATTTAAAAAAAACAGTCACAAACCATAGCTTGCAAGGGACAAGCCTATATCCCACTGCAATTAATCTGAATTAATCTTTGAGTTATATGACTTCAGTAAACTGAGATCTGACTAGTCACTTTGGGCTCTATTTTGCACTTCAGCTTTGCTCCTATTGCAGCAGATGGAATACATTAGAGGACTCTGTCTAGGAGATGCCTAGATCACTAAATACAAACACGTTAACCTCCTATACTGCAGTCCAGGATGACACACTGTGAAATAATTAGTGTCTGTGCCCACCATCCTCCCCTACGGAATGACAGCACATCTTACACAGCACAAGATACAGGAAGTTCCTACTACAACCTGGAATCAGTTTTAACTTTTTTGGTTCAGACCTGATTATCGATGCGGTGCTGAGGAAATAAAAGCACGGTCACATTGGCATGACTTTAAGAGATATGGGAACCCAGTCATCTTTATGGGGTCTATCTATAAAAAGAAATTGCTGTCTGACTGTCTTAAGCATTCAAACAGCCATCACAAATAATCCCCGTAATTCGTGTAATATGTTTACTTCCTATGAACAGTAGCTCCATCTAGTGGCCAAAATATGATGGTTTCCTGAAAACCTGCAATCAGTAAAATACAGCAATATAACCACTAGTTGGGGTTGATGATCATAGGACAGGGGTGTCAAACTGAAGTTCATCAAGAGCCCCATCAGCATTATGGTTGCCTTCAAAGGGCCGGTTGTGTCTGTAAGACTATGTATGCAGAATTCAGAAGTGTGTTATATGCAGAGTGCAGAGTATAGGAGTACGCAACGTACAGAGTGCAGGGTTCAGGAGTGTGATATGTACAGAATGCAGACTTCAGGAGTGTGTTATGTACAGAGTGCAGAGTTTTTAGGAGTGTGCTACATACAGAGTGCAGAGTTCAGGAGTGTGTTATGTACAGAGTGCAGAGTTCAGGAATGCGCTACATACAAAGTGCAGCGTTCAGGAGTGTGCTACATACAAAGTGCAGCATTCAGGAGTGCGCTATGTACAGAGTGCAGTGTTTTTAGGAGTGTGCTACATACAGAGTGCATAGTTCAGGAGTACACTACATACAGAGTGCAGAGTTCACGAGTACGTGGCATACAGAGTGCAGAGAGCAGGAGTATGCTACGTACAGAGTGCAAAGTTTAGGAGTATGTGGCATACAGAGTGCAGGGTTGAGGAGTGCGCTACATACAGAACGCAGAATTCAGGAGTGTGCTATGTACAGAGTTCACGAGTACGTGGCATACAGAGTGCAGAGAGCAGGAGTATGCTACGTACAGAGTGCAGAGTTTAGGAGTACATGGCATACAGAATGCAGGGTTGAGTGCGCTGCATACTAAGCGCAGAATTCAGGAGTGTGCTATGTACAGAGTGCAGAGTTCAGGAGTGTGCTACAGAGTGCAGAGTTCAGGAATGTGTTATGTAAAGAGTTCAGAGTTCTGGAGTGCATTACATACAGAGTGCAGGATTTAGGGGTACGGTATATACAGAGTGCAGGGTTCAGGAATGTGTTAGGTAGGGAGTGTAGAGGTCAGGAGTACGTTCGTACAGAGTTCAGGTGTGTGCTGTGTACAGAGGGCAGTGTTGAGGAGGGTGCTACATACAGCGTGCAGGGTTTAAGGGTGTGCTATGCACAGAATGCAGGGTTCAGCTCTCTTTCACAGGCTGTCCACATCTTACTTCCACTCCTACTCCTTGGTTCTGACCTTTGCACCACTCTCCCCATCTCCCACCTCTGCACCCATCTCCCTCCACAGCCCTCATCCCCCCCACCCTTCCCCCAAGGCTTCCTTGCATCTTACCTACACTTATATAACACAGCACTTGCGCGCAGATATTGAACCACTCAGAAAATAAAATATAATATACTAAAACAAAATAAAAGCAGCTTGCACATAAATAGGTGATGTTACAAAAATAAAATAAAAAATGCAGCGCTAATTATGAAATCTTATAAACATCAAAATAATGTCCATATAAGTCCTCAAATAAATGAAGCCAGATGCAAGGGAAGATTACGATCCAAAAACCGTCACCATACACCCGAAAAAGATGGCCTCTTACCAGACAATTTGACCGTACAAAACCGGTCAGCAAGCGCAGTGTGATATAACATCAATACAGGAAACGATCATCATTAGAAATCCTCTCCTTATCCTTATCTGGGAGAGGATTTCTACTGATGAACATTTGCTGCATTGATGTTATATCACATTGCGCTTGCTGACCGGTTTTGTACGGTCAAATTGTCTGGTAAGAGGCCATCTTTTTCGGGTGTATGGTGACGGTTTTTGGATCGTAATCTTCCCTTGCATCTGGCTTCATTTATTTGAGGACTTATATGGACATTATTTTGATGTTTATAAGATTTCATAATTATAGCTGCATTTTGTATTTTATCTCACCTACACAACCCAGCTGTAGAATCTCCCAGAAGTGTAGGAGGCTCATTTGCAGGGAGATCACTGATCAGCATCTGTCCCCACCATGTCCCTCCGTGAGCATGTGCAGGGCAGGCAGGGATCTGTGAGAGCCGTAAGCTAACAAGAGGAAAGCTGTCTTTGTAAACACAGAAGGCTTCCATGTTTACAAGTGACAGTGGCTTCAAGTGACAAAAGTTTCCGTGTTTACAAATGACAGTGGTGAGTGGGGAGCAGAGGGCAAGAGTTGTAGGTGGTGGATCTACGTTTGGCCATGCTCCAGGTGAATAAAAGCCCTCATTGAAAGGGTCACATGAATTCCGACTGGCCTTGTGTTTGACACGTGTATATAAGAAGTAAACATATTGCACAAATTACCAGTGTTTTCTGTAAAGGCTGTGCGAATGTGTTTCCATTAAAGGTTAAATGATTTCTAAAACTTCATTGTGTATACAGTAAATTATGTTATTGGTTTATACATAGACAGTGGTTAGTGGAGTTCCAATTTAAAGCAGAGACACATTATAAAAAAACTGACTTTAGTTGACAGCCAGAGTAAAATCTGAAATGCAATGTGTTGCTACTTTGACACCTAGTTTTCATGAGATATTTAAAGTCTATAATTTTATCTTTCCCTACAATTATGAAATGTATGGATCCATGATTTTAGGTGAAGTAAACAACTTGATAATAAAACCAATAACCTTATAATTGTTACCTACACATCAATGGCCTAACAATTATATATTTAAAAATGTAACTTTTTGCTTCATTAGTGGTAGCTAATATGATCTTTTGATGCAAAGCTCACCATAAGCTCAGGCATATTAATGATAAGTTGTATGGGCAGTTTGACATCTGGATCATCTGTATAATCCATAGGCACAATATTAGGAGCCAGCTCATAGAACCTCCCGTGTAACCTGTAAGAAACCACAAAAAAAAAAAAAAAACGTATTCAGTTTAGTACCAAACAGTTGGACTATACTTAATATTCACTTACTTGCCGACAAATCCTGAAAAGTGAATAGTAATTGCAACTCCAGTACTAGAAATGATTTATTATTATTCATGGTTGTCAAAAGGCTATAAGTAAAGGAGACAAATACCACAAGTCATATTTCTCTTTTTTCGCCTTACCAGTGCTATATATCTTACACAACAGAACCCATGTCTGATGTCTACTTAACTAGCCACCCATCCGGAAGATGTCAATACCAACAAACTGCTGCCTATTAATCTCTGTCATCCACTGGCTGTCTCTGTAAATATGTCCTTGAAAAGATACTATCATTTGTCAGAAAGGAATCACAATAGCCACTAATGTTCCCACGTTTTGGAAATGTTTATGACATCAATCTATACTGTACATAGTAATATTATTTTTCTCGAAATCATCCAAAATAGGACCTTTCAACAAAAGAGGAAAATCTTAAAGTTTCAAGTGAATATTTTCCATTCTTAGGCAAGTTTCAGTGGATACGCTTTGTTTTATTTAAATCACAAGCTTTTATAGTGTCCCCCGAAACTGTAGACAATTGCAAACGTTTAAAAATAAAAGTCCTGAAAAAATAGTTCAGATACATACTAAGATCACATCAAACACACTCGCACGGATCCTAGAAGTTGTGCTACTTTCGGCGTTCCCTGGATCAGTTTCAACAGCCAAGAAATCACTGCTTTTTTTACATACAGATTTTTAAACTATATATACTGTATATATACTATATTACATATACAGATTTGTTTATATACATAGCTAGTAGAACATTAATTCCTAGACATAGCACTTGAGTACTGGCACTTGCCCACAGCCCAACAATTAGGGAATGGATAGGCAAATTATATTGCATGATGAGTACGAAAGTACCAATTGCCCAACAACATGAGACGTACGATTCTATTTAAACCAAATGGACCCCATTGGATCCTCTACATAGACACCAATCACTTCAAAGCTGTAGCACCTTTCTAGCACCTTTAGCTAGTGGAACAAACTGTTCCTAATGAACACTTACTGGAGCAATTTGAGGATATCTCTCCCTCACTGTGACTTCACCCCCACACAACCCTTCCTCTATCATTCTTTCTCTCTTCTGCTTCACTCTTTTTTAGACATCCCTTCCTAGTCTCCCTAACTGCTGGAATGGCACCTGGCATATTCTGGGGCCTTCACATTTCAAAATAAAGATTCCTTCACCTATACTGTCCTGTACAACACAATACCACACTTAGCCCTTCCTGTCACGCATGGAATTCTTTAGTAATTCTGTAGACAATGGCGATGAGCTAGGACACAGGATGTTTTTGCAACTAGTTACTGATGTGTTCCTGCATTGTAGAGTCCATCAATTGCTGGCTACCACTGTTCATACTGAATTGTGAAGATGTGCCCCTCTGCACCCCTTTTTCTTATATATGTATATATATATATATATATATATATATATATATTCCAAAGACATGCTGGTAGGTTAATTGGTTCCTGTCTAAATTGGTCCTAATATGAGAAATAAAAAAAAAGGACCGGGGCCTTGAGTGACCGAGTGTTACTTTGCTATTAGCCCAAGTTTTAAAAATGCCCCTGTAGACTAGGGTTTCAATCCTAGACTAGACTACAGGTCAGGAATTCTAAGATTGGCCAGCCAGTGCCAGACCTAAACCTTACCAAGGTCCAGTACAAACCACATGAATGCACCCCCAGCCACCTAATGCCACCAGCCCTATTACAATGTGTAGCTTTGTTTACTGAATACTTTCCCTCACTACCTTTTTTAATGCCTTCCACAGTCCTGTTCACCATGTGTCTATTCTAATAGGGGGCGCTACAACTTGAGAAGCTTTAAATCTGGTACTACATGGGCAGACTGTTACATAAAGTCCCACTGTGAATTTTGTTTCTGAAAGTAAAAGATCTGTGCAAACTCAGTTACAGCTGGCGACGACCCATGCAATACAAGAGAGAGAAAAAGGACAGAATTATTTAGTAGTCATATGTATTACTGACTAAAGAGACAGCCAAAGGTGGATGGTAATGTATGTAAGTAATTAAAAGTGTACAGACATTCACTTAGACAACACACCATTCTTGCAGACAAAAACAAAATGGCCTAGTGTATTACCTAATGACCACTTTATTAAGATAAGACATAGTCACAAATTTCCATGGGCAAGAGAAAGCGCTGCATACCCAAGTTTCAAATACAGGAAGGTCATATTATGGGCGTGATTTACCAAGATCCAGACAGACCATGACAATTTATGAGTATTTTATTGGCACGCTTTTATGTTAATAAAGTAGTCATTAGGTAATGCACTAGACCTCTGCATCCTTTTTTGTCTCACTGTTTGTCAGATAGATTCCCAATCTGAAGAGAGCTGCATTGGCAGAGCATTTCAAGATGTGCCAGGAAAACTATGAACAGTGTTTTACACTGACACTTACTGTATCTTTGTTTTAGTCACTCATGAGTGCTATGGTATCATTTCTGTGTACGCCATTCTTGGAGCCTAAATGCACAGGGCCCATATATTATTTTTTTTTTTATATGAGGCTTATCGTTTCTGGTAGAATTTCTGTTTTTAGAGAAAAACATTTTTTCTTTTTGACTAATGATTCACTTACCGAAGGATTTCTTTTCGTGTGAAGAAAGTGCAATCCTAAAAGAAACAAAAGAGTAAAAAAAACTATTATTACCAGTGCAGTAGAAAAATTGATATTCTTCCTGATAATTTTAGACATTGTCAAGCCTTATTCCATTCTCCGAAAGTATTATGCAAACCCAGCCACACAAATATTAGTAAAATAACATCCATTTAAGATCCAATAAAGATCCATTTAAGATCTAGATGGCAATATTCAAGGGAATTAACACTTGGTTCATCTGCATCTCTACTTCTAAGGTCATGTTACTGCACTTTCCAGCTTCATGGCTACCTGCAAAGAGTGTCTATCCGGGCCATTATCGGCAACTTTTATAAAACAATGGCACAGACATGGCCTGATGAACATAAATGCTCAACATACCAGGACAAAATACATTTCTTTACACTTAGAGTTAAAGGACCTATAATCAAATATTAAATAACAAATATGCTTACTGAAGAGTAGACCTGTAACCTGTTGGGGTATAATCCAACAAAGGTGCAATCAATTAAGGAAATAAACTTGTAGTTCCTTGCTTTTTTGCTCAAAAACCGCTTGTGCAAGCTAGCTGCTGTGTCCCTGGTATGCCTGCTTTCCAGCCTGTCTCCTCCACTGATTCCTGTGTACTGACTTCTGGCTCATTCTTGGTTATTCCTGTCCGCTTCCTGTACAGACCTCAATCTGGTTTCTAGTTATCTGTATTTGCTGCCTGCCCTGATCTCTGGCTTGGTCCTTGTTATCTGTGTCTGCTTCCTTTCCAGACATTGATCTTGTTTCTAGTTATCTTTATCCATTGCCTGCCCTGATCTTTGGCTTGTTCTTGATTATCTGTGTCTGCTTCCTTTCCAGACCTTGATCTTGTTTCTAGTTATCTGTATCTGCTTCTTGCCCTGATCTTTGGCTTGTTCTTGGTTATCTGTGTCTGCTTCCTTTCCAGACATTGATCTTGTTTCTAGTTATCTTTATCCATTGCCTGCCCTGATCTTTGGCTTGTTCTTGGTTATCTGTGTCTGCTTCCTTTCCAGACCTTTATCTTGTTTCTAGTTATCTGTATCTGCTTCCTGCCCTGATCTTTGGCTTGTTCCTGGATATATGTGTCTGCTTCCTGTCCAGACCTTGACATGGTTCCAAGTTCTCAGTATCTGCTGCCTGTCCTGATCTTTGGCTTGTTCCTGGTTATCTGTGTGTGCTTTTGGTCCTGGCCTCAACCTGGTTCCTTGTTGTCCATATTTGCCTCCTGTCCTGATTTTTTCGCCGATTCCTGGTTATACATGTCTGCAGAGCAAGCACTTATGATGGGGTACAGCCAGGAATCAGAGTCTGTATCAGTCTAGCTCTAAAAGAATAACCACTAGCCTGGCCTGTGCTAGCTCCCCACAGCCTAGGCCTGGGAAAATAGACTGTGGTATTGAAAGAGCTGCCAATGTCATATACAACCCAAGATGTCAAGGATATCAGCCCTTGCTTTATGTATATTTAAGCTCTGCATAAATATGTTGTTTTAATTTCAATTGTCACATTGTAAATTTTCTGTGTACACTGTTAAACATATTTTTTTTTCTCTTTTAAATTCACTGTTTTTTTAAGACTACAGCAAATACAGCAATAAAGCACACTCAGTTTATATAGCACTGCTTGATATGTTAGAATAATCTTGCAAGAGTCTTTATATGAGTATTCCTAGAAAATGTTGATAAAACCCACAGGATTTACAGTACTTAGAAGTGCATTTGGGGACATGTTCTGTAATTCAGAACAGGAAGGACTTTGTGAATGATTAAAATATAGATTTATTGCTCATTTCCTTCCAAAATCGCATGATCCCTTCCAAAAACTAAGAAATGAGATGCAGCAAGAACTCCCAGTGACCTTAAAAGCAGCAGTGCGTTAATCACAGTACTCAGAATGCATTACTCTAATTTTTAGGATAAAGTGACAGTCCTGTAGAGGAGGGATGTATTCGTTCAATGAGCTGTGGCAACAGTCCTAAATGAGACAAACTCCTAGCAAGTTGTAATGGCCCAATGGGTCAAATACACAGATTGAAAACAAAAAATGCTTTAATATAGAATGCATGTATTTGGTATATATTAGAAAGCTAAATCACAATTTATAAATTATAGTGTAAAATGTTCATTTTTTTAAATTAACAGTATTATTACTTTTACAGTGAAAGAAAAACTCTGGCCTAATTAAAAAACAGGATATTATTGTAAATGGCAGGCTATTCATAAAACTTATTCAAATAATCTTCTAGATTGTAAACTCCAAGGAGCAGGGCTCTACTAACCCTCTTGTATTGAACTGTATTGTTGCTGTATTGTCCCCCGTTATATTGTAAAGCGCTGAGCAAACTGTTGGCGCTATATAAATCCTGTATAATAATATTAATAAATACACTATATTGCCAAAAGTATTAGGACACCCCTCCAAATCATTGGATTCAGGTGTTCCAATCACCTCCATGGACACAGGTATATAAAATCAAGCACCTAGGCATGCAGACTGCTTCTACAAACATTTGTGAAAGAATCAGTCGCTCTAAGAAGCTCAGTGAATTCAAGTGTGGTCCCGTGATAGGTTGCCACTTGTGCAATAAGTCCATCCATCAAATTTTCTTGCTACTAAATATTCCACGGTCAACTGTTAGTGGTGTTATAACAAACTGGAAGCAACTGGGAATAACAGCAACTCAGCCACACAAAGTGGTAGGCCACAGAAGTTGCCAACTGTCTGCAGAGTCAATAGCTAAAGACCTTCAAGCTTCATGTGGCCTTCAGATTAGCACAACAACAGTGTGTAGAGAGCTTCATGGAATGGGTCTCTATAGCCAAGCAGCTGAATCCAAGCCTTACATCACCAAGTGCAATGCAAAGCATCGGATGCAGTAGTATAAAGCATGTCACCACTGGACTGTAGAGCAGTGGAAATGTGTTTTCTGGAGTGACCAATCACGCTTCTCGGTCTAGCAATCTGATGGATGTCTCTGGGTTTGGCAGTTGCCAGGAGAATGGTCCTTGCCTGACTGCATTGTGCCAAGAATAAAGTTTGGTGAAGGGGGGGATTATGGTGTGGGGTTGTTTTTCAGGGGTTGGGCTTGGCCCTTTAGTTCCAGTAAAGGGAACTCTTAAGGCATCAGCATACCAAGACATTTTGGACAATTTCATGCTTCCAACTTTGTGGGAAAAGTTTGGGGTTGGCTCCTTCCTGTTCCAACATGACTGCACACCAGTGCACAAAGCAAGGTCCATAAAGACATGGATGAGCGAGTTTGGGGTGGAGGAACTTGACTGGCCTGCACAGAGTCCTGACCTCAACCCACTAGAACACCTTTCGGGATGAATTAGAGCTGAGACTGCATGCCAGGCCTTCTCATCCTTCAGTGCCTGGCCCCACAAATGCACTGGAAGAATGGTCAAACATTCCCATAGACACTCCTAAGCCTTGTGGACAGCCTTCCCAGAAGAGTTGAAGCTGTTATAGCTGCAAATGGTGGGCCAACTCATTATTGAACCCTACGGACTAAGACTGGGATGTCATTAAAGTTTATGTGCAAGTAAAGGCAGGCGTCCCAATACTTATGGCAATATAGTATATTTGTAAAACCTGATTCTATAAACAGACTAATAACAATGCTCACACTTTTCCTAAAACTTCTACTGTATATATGCCTTTATAAATTGTTCAAAGAGATTTTTTTGGATGATTGCAGTGATAACTGTAGTGTACGCTGACAATGTGACCTATACACTGTTTTTTGGAATGTACAGGGAGGGCACAATAACACTTAAGCAGGAAGCACCCTGTTGTGAGGATCCAGGAGGCTCACGCTGGTGGCAGGATCAATATACATTTCATATGCATTGCTTACCACGGAACTAAACCTATCAATTTATTGGTTTAAAAAAACTGTTACATTCTCACCATGCCAGGAATGCTAACTGTCACATTTACTTGTGCTTTCAACCAAATTGTCAAACCATCAAATGGCTGGTGTCATAACTGAGCACATGTGCAGCACCATGGCATTTTTTCAGAGGCTAAGATGGCAGCCTCCTTGGCTGAAAAGGATAGGAGGGTTTAGTTCTGCATTAATGTATAACTAAAGGCAAACCTTTTTTAAACCTTTCATTCAGTTTCTAAATTGTTGCATTTGTAAACTTCTAAAGCCAGTATAAAGGAATAGTAGTGGTAAAAAAAAAAGCACTTGTGGGTTTTACTAACATTTTTTTGTATAATTCTCCTTTAAGGTAGAGTGGCATGGGGGTGTGTCCTATGCCTTCATACATTTACTAATAGGTGTCCCTCATTCCCATCTCAAAAAGTTGGGAGGTATGTGTATTAGCCATGGGATAGAAAATGAAGGGAAATATACCCAGTGGGACATAGATGGCAAAAAACATACAGGGGTTAAAACCCTCCCTTACTCTACCCGAATGAAAAAAGTTGATTAAAGTTCTACTTTAAATGAACAACCACCATTTATTTATAAAGTACAGAAGTGTTCTTTACTAATGTGCATTGTGCTCTGCTCACTTAGCAAATAATAGGGAGATTATAAGAACAGAGGGGAGTGACCTTTGTCATGGACTGTATTGCGGGAAACAGATTTTACTTGTAGTCAAAAAATCACAGGACACAGGCTTTTTCAACTAGGACTGTCCAAAAGCAGTACAGGGGCAGGGGGATACAGCACCAACGCCAACAGGCCCACAGAATGTGTAAGGTCAGACAAAAGAATACTCCCATAAGGTAGCCTCTGTAGATCTCAGTGAACCCAACATAGGTTGCCAAGGGAACACAGAAGATCAGCTACGAGGAGAGATGTTCGCTTTGTAAACAACGGCTCTAACTAGAGAATAAAGAGGCCACAGGTCTCTGGAACAGAATGACCAAGGCCAAGGTTTGTCCTATGATGGTATGGAAAGTCAGATGTTGATCTACACTGGACTAATGGAAGGACAGAATGTGTTCCATGGTGTACTTTCTAGGATGAAAGCTCCTTACCTTGCAACA